TGTAGCTCGTTGGGTCACAGAGGTGCACAAGCCATCACACCACGTCAAGGTGCAGTCTCGACGTGATGCATGTGTGTGTAGGAGCGCTCCATTATCTGTTTAATGCATAGTCTGGATTATTATACATTACAGATCTCACAACTGTGAAGCAACCAGGTTCACTTTCAGTCTACGTAGTCGAATGGCTTAAAAGGTACGTAATGCATGGACTTACCATTCATCGTCTTACGGCAGGTTGCAACCGTTTTTATACTTAGTTTTGAAAGAACGATGAAGTAGGATTTTTTCAGTGGGTGCATAAATTATTGACTAAGACAAAACTGATTTATGAGCAACTTTCATCCGGTGAAAATCGAGGCCTACAACTGACCGAAGGCAGCGGTTAACTTGAAACTTGGACAATGAGGCGCAATAGTTAACATTTATTTGGAGCTATTTTGAGAACTGAAATTTTGTTCTTCTCATTTGTTTTATTTTTCAAGAGAGACACATCTTACGATTAACAAAACAATGTATCAGTCATAAGTATTATTATGTATACTTTTTTGCTGCTCTAGTCCCGGGTGGGAGACATATCATAACATAAAAAATATAATTCTACTATAATGGCCCGGACTCACTTGACAAAATCTTCTTCGGCTATTGGCGGATCCCACAGTTTATTCACTTGAAGACGACAGACCTGATCTAGCACACATACCGCTTTTTCGCATTCCTCGATCCAATCCATGGCCAAACTTAGACCGGAAGACACGTTGTAATCATCATCATCAAGTTGACGATTACGACCAGCGCGGTTTGCAGCAGCACCACCACGAGCTCGACCTCGACCGACCTGTGTAGTGAAAACAAGATGGTGTACGGTGGACAACTCCAAAATTCAATTTCGTGTATTGAACAAGAGGAAAACTCATCCGGCAATATAACTAAGAATCGAAATTAGTACAATTATTCAAAACAGACGTTAAATGGAATAAAGGAGTTATTCGAAATTATCACCCACTAACCAAAAAGGATCAGAGGAATGCGCGAAATTTGAACTAGGTAAAGATTCTTGCACACAGCAAAGCCATCACATCTTGACTAATCAGGATACTACGAGAAAAGGGAAAGCCTAGTGTGATTTCGCGCGGTCAGTTTGTTGACTGTGGGGTTTATACCATTTACTATTAGACTGAATTTTGTGATAAGAACATTGAGAAATTCGGTACCATTGACTGCGTCATCAAACGAAACAGTTAAATGCAAAAAGTAAACCTATTTGAGGAAAACGAATAGAACCACCGTGATGAACGCATTGCTCGAGTGAACTGTGCATGATCGCTAACCCACTGTGTTTATAAACTGAATCACACCGAAAGAGGTGAATATCATAGCCAGATAGTGATATGTCCGGGTAAATTCAGGTAAGAATCAATTTATTGATTCTATTTTGGAAGAATGAAAGGTTATAAGCGGTTAGAAAGACGGAGGTTCTATAACAATTTAGCAGTCCTGGGAAAGAGAAAGACTGAAAGAGACAAGTATCATATCTGGGGACAGTGACTCGATAACGGTGGATGATCATCAGCGATTGAGATGAACAAGAAAAGACAAGGGGGAATCGTAAAACGAGTTCCGGAGAACACAAAGCACAGTAGTAAAGCCGGAAAAGAGATAAAGAAGCTGATTCACTCCTACCCATGAGGAATGATTACTAGCATTCTCAGACAATCGAGTGTTCATGAAGTGAAACAAATGTATGAAAAGATTGATTATCTTATGGCGAAGAGAATTCACTAACCTTGACTGCAGCCGTAGATTTAGCCTGGGCATTCAGTTCATTCTCGAACATATCCACAAATTGGCATAGGAGATAGACATGCATTTTTAAGGCAGTACGTTGCGTAGCCATTTCAGTTCGATTCAGTCCACAATTCAAACTATCATTGCCTTCCAACGTGGAAGCCAGTTGACGTACACACACTTCGCAACCTTTGTAGCAGAAAATTAGAGGTCGGAACAATAGTTAGGAGCGTGCATACTACATGTGCTTGCCAAACAAAAAAATATGTTGACATAATGAAAATAACAAAAATAATTTCAAAAAACTTTGCTACTTCCAGTGACTTGGACTTCTATACCTTCAAAAGACATAAGAACAAAGGTGATGTCACCAATCGTTCAGGGGGAAATATTGTAACTAACATATTCCAATCATTCGGACTTGAACTGATAGATCATAAAGAAAAGATGAAGACTAAAATAGAGAACGTAAAAGCATCTTCACCAATAGCAATCATTGTAGTTAGTAAGTAGGTACCGAAACCAAAATCCGGACACATAGGATGGGTAAAGTAGCGACTTTGAGGAACCTAAAACCGATATGGGTTGTGTTCAGTTCAACTTGTTTTGTTGACCAACCTCGCGTTTTGTTCTCTAAACGACATACATAAATCGAGTGTGAATGAAAAAAGGCGAGTACTACACCAGAGAAGTGTCAAGTGTGTTTTAGAGGATCAGCATGACAATGAAATTGAATGGTATCTAGGGGTGTTTATATATCAACGTGGTCGGTTATCATCACAATAACGTGTTTACTGAGAAACTCAAGAAGATACTAGAACACAGTGCACATACCCCGCAGTACAATACTCCAAGCTTCTTCTTTTGTATCTGTAGAAACATTCGCCCATTCACTGTTGAGAATGAATAAAGACGGTGATTGGACTTACTGGAGCACGCTGAACAAAACGTCGAATGAACGTAGGATGTACACGTGTCCCTCCGTACTTAACGATCGGGGACATTCTGGAAAGCAGAGGTGAAAATTTCAGTGTGAAAGCAGTATCAGATTAGAGAAGAAACACAAAAAGTAGGAGATCAAAGTGGTGTGGCATTCATGAAATGTAGCTTCTCTTTTTATCATCACTTGAAAATCCTATGGTGTGGGGATCCAGTTAAATTTCCTTCCCAAATGATTCTTTTCCACTACGTCAAATTATTTTACCTATATGAAGATGTTTTTCAGAGACAGGTGGTGGATGGAAAAAGTCGAGGGCGTTCAATCTGAGACCTAAAATGAGGGTTTAAAAACCCTTGCCAGGAGACTCGGTCGTATAGGTTGCATTAAGCTCTCTGAATGCAGACTTCAGGTTCAGCGTAACCGATGGTTGGATACACTGCCTCTGAAAGTCTCGGTATGTTCGGGGTGGGTGTCTGGGATTGTGGCTCGTCACCATTTCCTTACACCTCGCGAAATGTTCCTATATGATCAAGCGTCTCAAATAGCCTCTGTTGAGGAGGACCTATTCAATACCTTCTCGTGGCGGAGATGTTTTCCTACCAAAATGAGGACTAAAAGCCAACATCCGGGTCGGTGAACCATTGGTAGTTCAACTAAGGGAATTGGCTAAAAACCCTGATTCCAA